GTCACTTCAGCAAATATGATTTGACGGGTCCTGATATCCACCGAATATGAAATAAACAAATCGGTTGGGGCCATTCCATAATCGAACCGTGACGAAGTTCGGTGACCCTTTTATAGCTGACGCCTTGTAATACATCCAAATCCCACGTATAGTTTAATTGGGCTAAAGCTCGTCCACGTCACTTCAACGAACATGATTTGACGAGGTCTCATTGACAGCCGAGCATACTTGGTTCAGTTGAGGCCGTTCTGTAATCGAACCGTGACGAAGTTCGGTGACCCTTATTTTTTCAACTCAGACACAACCTGAACAGTGTCGAGTATTGCAAGTTCAAAACAGCTTGCTTGTCAGTTCTCCATACTACCGACTTTCCAGAATATGACATCAGACTCAGAAAAGGAACTCAGACTCGACAAAATATCGAGGTATCCTTATTTGTACAGTAAACATTTACTGCATATGCGCACTACGCATCGGCATACTCAGTAATGCATTCATACATTCATATGCGCGTCACACATACATTCATTACATATGCGCATTAGACATACATCTTGACGTCCAAATCAAAAGAATACAATAAACCAAACATATTCATCTGTTTGGGCCCACACTGGTTAGGCAAAGTCAATAAGACCTTCCCGGCTGGGAAATATGCGAATAAAAAAATCATTATACCGAATTCTTCAGCTCGGTATGACAAGGCTGATACCCATGCCTTTACTGAACTCTTCAGTTCGGTAGACTAAAACATTTATTTCACCAAGTTCTTCAGCTTGGTAGGGCTAGAAGTCCGTCCCTAACCGAGTTCTTCAATTCGGTAGGCAAATATATCATATCGATAACACCTTTGCATATAGATCGATAGCAAATCAAGGGGCCCGAGTGCCCGCACCAGCTCAAATCTATACTACTATCATCATCACAGACGCAAATTCATACAACGCGTCCTATTACTCATGAAAATCGGGTACCAAATTACCCTACCAGGCCAACCAGGCCCCATTCATATATCAATTTCACATAGTTGACTATCCTCGCAGTCGACTCCACTCGTCAGAACAAAAAACACGTTGGCCGTCACTACTACAGGCCAAAGCCTGGAATCGATCCACGAAATGTTTACGGGTCCCAAAGCACCCGGCCTACATCGATACATTATTAATTACAGCTAAATTGGCTATACACGTGACTTTAGAACAGTTCTATTCAGAACATGTCCTAAAGTCAGGGGCCTACTGTTAATACCCAATTTTGGCCTCGCCTATTAAAATATTACACGTGGATACGTATTATATCAATTGTTTTATTTTAGGGCCCACAAATAACACCACTTGTAATAATAACGGGCCCACCAAAAATATATATATAAACCCCAATGATGGACGTCAGACATATAGGTCTGAGGGGCTATTATTACTTTTTCTTTTCTTGGCCTCTTTCTGTTTCCTTTCAACAGAATCTTCTAACGAGATTATTCAATCTCTTACATAAAAAATCATCAAACAATATACAGAAGTCCAGCATATTCTATATATACAAACAATTTTTCGAATACCCCATGTTGATACAAAATCGCATATCAACAAAACCTATAGTTGAACTGTATCTCAGAATGCACGAGTGCGATTTTTGTGTAACCATATGGATAAAACAGTTGACCTTGAGCAACAATTAAGTTAAAAAATCCTCCTTGTATAGCCAGATCGGAGCTCTTTCCACCGGTTCACTCCAGATCTAGGAGGAGACCCATCAGCTTGCATAGGCTTCTGCATGAACTGAGCGAGGGTATGAACACAATAAGACAACTCTGGTCTCGTAACCGCAAGGTAAATTAAGCGACCAACCAACCAATGCTAGACCTCAAGATTGCGCAAAGGAGTATCAGTAACTAGCAGAAGGTGATGATTTTGCTCCATAGGAAAACCGTGGGTTCGGAACCCAGAAGACCAACCTCAGAAATAATATCCAGGGCATACTTGCGTTGGCAGAGAAAGATGCCAGAGGGATGGCAGGCCACCTCAATGCCGAGAAAGTATTTGAGAATGCCAAGATCTTTCATGTGAAAACAAGTACTCAAATAGTTTTTGAAAGACTGAATAGCAGCACGATCATTACCCGAAATGATGAGATCATCCACGTAGACCAACACAGTAAGTTGGACAGTTGCTTGGCGAAGGACGAATAAAGAGTAATCAGAAGATGATTGCTGAAAACCATATTGTCAAAGAGCACTAGCCAACTTGGCAAACCAACAACGCGGAGCTTGGCGCATACCATATATTGAACGATGAAGGCGACATACCGTCTCGGGAGACAGAGAAGAAAAACCGGAAGGGAGCCGCATATATACTTCCTCGACCAAATCACCATGTAAAAAGGCATTGTAAACGTCCATTTGATGAAGTTCCCAGCCCTTTGCAGCAACAACTGTAAGAAGTGTACGGACTGTGACCATCTTTGCCACGGGAGCAAAAGTTTCATTGTAGTCAAGTCCCTCAATCTGATTATTGCCCAAAATGACGAGACGAGCCTTGTAGCGCTCAACCGTGCCATCTGAGCGGTACTTAATTTTGAATACTCATTTGCACCCAATGGCGCGTTTTCCAGGTGGAAGAGAATCAATAGTCCAAGTACCACTCTGTTCCAAGGCCTCAATTTCCCGTTGCTTAGCAGCACGCCACCGTGCATCTTTAACAACTTCGTTAAAGAAACGTGGTTCCGCCCCTGCAGTGACACTTGCCAAAAATGCTCGATGGGATGATGAAAAAGAATCACAAGAAACATAATTGTGTATGGGATAGGACGCACCTGAGGAAACAAATGAAGAGGAGGGAGCGGGAGAGGGGCCTGAAGAAGATACTGTATGGGCGAAAAAATCCTTCAAGCGATTAGAACGCTCCTTAACCCGATGGCCACGGCCTAAAGGTTCCTCTGGTGGAGTCGAAGAAAGAGAGCCCCCCCTATCTGAGGTGGAGATACCGGGAGTGTCGGAGGCGGCTGGAGAGTTGGAGGTAGTCGGAGAGTCAGAGGCGACCGATATAGAAGAGGTGACGGGAGTAGACTAAACAATCGCAGTGAAATCATCATCATCAATGATAGGAGGAGAGTCAACAATAGACGAACTAGGCGGGAGATGAGTCTTGGCAAAATACGTAAACAAAGACTCGGAGAAACTAACATCACGAGAGACGATAAATTCCCCAGACTCTAAGTCATAAACCCGCCAACCTTTTTGGCCAAAGGGATACCCGACAAGTAAACACTTGCGACCTCGAGGAGAAAATTTATTACCTTTAGTATGTTTATTATGGGCATAACAGAAACACCCGAAAACACGCAAGTGAGCTAAAGAGGGAGGTTTTCCATACAAGATTTCACATGGGGATTTGCCCTTTAAGACATTGGAAGGGGTGCAATTAATCAAGTAACCAGCAGCAAGTACACAATGTCCCCAAAACTCGATGGGCAAATTAGCTTGAAAACGTAAAGCTCTAGCCATATTGAAAATATGCCTATGCTTACGCTTGACCCGACCATTTTGTTTGAGGAGTCGCTACACAAGAAGTTTCATGCAAAATACCAAGTTGATGAAAGTAAAAGGAGAGACACATGAATTCGGTCCCATTGTCACTACTTATACGTTTAACTGTCTTTTTATATTGACGTTCAACCATAGAAATGAAAATTTTCAACTTCAAAGAAACTTCCGTCTTATCTAACAACAAGAAAATCCACGTAGCTCGAGAAAAATCATCAACAATGGTTAAAAAATATTGTGCACCAGAAAAAGAATGAAACCTATAAGGACCCCATAAATCACAATGTACGAGTTGAAAAAGCTCATAATAAATAGTTGTACTGATAGGAAAGGAAGTTCGAGACTGCTTGGCCCTAAAACAAACATCACAGGCCTTATTGACAAAGCTACCATCTTTGGAACGACCGACACTAAGAATCAAGTCGAGAACCTTTGGAGAAGGATGACCTAACCGTTGATGCCACAAATCGACTGAAGGAACCATAGTAGTAGTAATAGCTGCAGAAATCTCCGAATCGTGAAAGAAATAGAGCCCCTCTTGTTGCTCACCCGCTCCAATCGGCATCCTCGAAGTGAGGTCCTGTATAACACAAAAATGTTTATAAAAGGAGCAACCGAGGCTGTATCCTTTAACCATTGAGAAACCGATATCAAATTGCACAGTAAACTGGGTACATATAACACATTAATCAATGACACTTGGGGCTAAGAACTACGGTGCCCTCTTTAGTAGCGATAATACGTTGATCATTGGGTAATTGAACCAAAACACCTAGGATATCTCGAACTGTATCAAAATGGCACAATGAACCTGTTATATGACGAGTAGCTCCAGAGTTATACATCCAATTACCAAAGACACCCCTATCAGACAAAGAAGTCGAAGGAGCTGTAGGCAGTGGTGAAGCCGAATTGAAAAGATTGCGCAAGACGGTCCACTGTTCGGGATTTATTCCAGTAAAGAATGAAGAAGAATGACCACCATCGGCACCAGCACCAGGAATCGGGGAAGCCATCATGGTGTTTGCAGCCGCGACATTTGGGACAAATACACCAACGCCGCCAGCCTGTGCACCATCACCATGCTGAGATTTGGTATTCCCGCGACCCCGTCCATGCCTACCACCACGAGACCATCCTTCGAGAAACCCATGAAGTCTGTAGCAAGTCTGAGTGGTGTGATTGGCGCGGTTGCAGTGGGTGCAAAATGGTCTTGATCCTGATCCGAAAGCTGGTGGAGTCGACCCAACACCACGCCCAAAATTAGGAGAAACGGAGGAGGCAGCCAATGCAAGCACTCCGTTACCAGTGCTAGCAGCAACAGGACGAACCCCAGAAAATCCAAGAGGAGTTTGAACAACAAAACTCATTTCTCCGACGGGATCTTTAGATTGAGTCATTAGTCGGAGGCGTTCTTCCTGAACAATTGTTGAAAACGCCTTCTTCAGCCTAGGAAACGGATCTTGGGAGATAAGAGATGAGTGTACAGTGGCGTACAAAGTATCTTCAAGGCCGAGTAAGAATTGATGCACCTTTTCTTCCTCTAGCCGTCGTTCGGAGGCCGACATAATATTGCACGAACAGCCACCGCAAGAACATGTCAGAACAGCATCATAGGTGTTTATTGTGTTTTTGTGCTTATTTTCGTGTGTTTTATGTGTTTTAGTTTAGTGTTTTTAGGTTCGTTTTAGTGTCGATCGGTCCATTTTATTGTGTTTCGTGCATTTTTCTTATCGTATTGTGTTTTTGTGGTTTGGCGTACTTTACTTGTGTGTTTAGGTCCACATTATTCTACCTTGGGAAGACGAGCCATTTCCGAGACATTTTCAAGTCATCCGAACCATGTTCGAGCCACATGGGCCATTTCCGAGCCGTTCCGAGCATATTCATTAATTGCATGGTGACACCCATTTACACATCTCAAGACGAGGAGATGTTTGGTTTCGAAAAAACCATTTACACACAACTCTTTTAGACCTTCAGGTAATTCTACTAAATTTCAAACTTATTGTCATCCATTGACTTTAATTATTCTTTCATAACATTGATCAACTTTACCAGAATTTTCACTTTTACTGGCTTGAGATTCATCAACCAAAGGTTGTTCTATAATTCTGATTGCTTGTGATGATTCATTATCAAGTGAATTTGGATCATTTTGTTATTCATCTAAGTTTTATGACAGTAATGTAACTAGAAGAATAACAACCATTAATGGACTCTCAGGTTTGGACTGTTCAACCCGAGTTTCTTTGACATCCAAACTTTGTGGTTCCAAACTCCCACTGATTTGATCATTCTAAATGAATCGAGCATTTTCGCAATCAACTATTCTCGTACTGTGGTTAGGGCCATAAAACTTATATCCTTTAAAACTTTCCGGATAGCCAATGCATAACCATTGGTTGTCATAGGATTAAGTTTCTTTTTATGTGGATTATGTACTTTTACTTCTGCTTGACACCCCAAATATGAAGATGCCTCAAACTAGGTTTCCTACTCTTTCATAGTTCATAAAGTATTTTAGGAACTACTTTACTAGAAACCCAATTTACCCAATATGCAACAATCTTTAACACATGCATCCAGATAGAAAATGTTAATGTTGAATTACTGAACATACTCCTAACCACATCCTATTAAGTACGGTTTATCCTCTCAGCAACACCATTATGTTGAGAACTCTCAATTATAGTGTATTGCACACAAATATTTCAAATCTCAAGAATCTTTACAAATGGACTAGGATATTATCCTCTTTCATTGAACTTACAATAATATTCACCAATCTAGTGAGATCTCACAACTTTTATTTATTTATCTAACTACCTTTTCATCTCATCAATGTATATCTTTGGATAGTCCAATGATTGAGTCGTTTCATGTAGTAGATAAATATAACCATAACGTGAGAAATCATTTGTAATGGTGATTAAATACTTTACAAAACCCCATCAAGGGACGTCTAATAGACCACAAGAAAATTAGTAAAAATAAGTTTTAGTGCTTCTCTTGGCAAATCTCTTTAATGTATGTCTAGTTTGTGTTTCTTTAATTCATCCTACACATACATTTTGATCACTAAAATCCAAATGATAAATGGTTTCATTATTCACCATTCTCAAACCTTTCTTCGGATATGTGACCATAATCTTTAATGCCATAAGAGAGTATAGTATTCATTATGTGCACTACGTTTAACCCAAAATTAAATATGAGATACATAAGTAGTTGCACATAACCAAGCCACCAAGAATCATTGGGAATCTTTAATAAATATGATTCACAACATACAAAACTTAATGCATATCTTTCTTTTCGAATCAATATTTTATTTTGGGCAATCTTTTATGAGGTGGCCTAACTTTTTACAGGAGTAACACCTCATTTCTTTAATGATTGGACCTGCAAAAACTTTAAGTAAGTCAATCTTTTTTTATTTGACTTTGTTTCCCATTTCATCTTACTATTATTGGCTCTTACATGAGATATAAAGTGTATCGACTCTTGTTTCATCTCTTTTATTCTCACCTCTTCCTGCACCAGCATAGCCTTAATTTCCTTATAGTCCCATTTTATCTTTAATGGTGTTATAGTTCGCCTAGGATTGGCCAAACTCGACAGGTAGGGAGTTCATGATGAATAAAACCATAAATGAGTCTATCACATTCATTCTCATGTTTGCAAGTTTAGCTTATATGTTGAACATGTTAGACACGATACCATGAATGGAATGGAATTAGTTGAACTTTTATAGTGGTGAGTTCGATCATGAAACTTTACACAATAGACTTTTTTCCGTAACTTTAAATGAAGATAGTTCCTTGATTTTTTTATTTAGGAATTCTATTGAATTATCAACCTTAATGTTATCTGTCACGATTAATTTCATAAAATTCAAACACAACCTATTTGATCGCTCACATACCCTACGAAGAGTTACCTCTACTTCGGAGCTCTCACCAATAATGGTTGTGGGCACTTAATCAGTAATTAGAGTATATTCAAATTCAGTGCACCTAATTGAAAATGTATATGCTCAAACCATTAATTGAAGTTCAGCACATTGAATTTTTTTTTCAATAATAATACTTGACGGAAAAATTAAATTTAAACACTGCAAACTTTGATACATGCTAATTAAGCTTTGAGAGAAAAATTAATGGATTCAGAAATCTTTTAAATTATATATTTAAATATACCTTCGGGCAAATACTTAAATATATAATATATTTGATTGATGCCTAAGAGAAAAGATCTTTAATAGAAATTATAGGTATTGTGATTAATTAGCGGTTATCTTTGGACAAATACACTAATCAACCTAAATATAATTATAATTTCTCTTTTATATATTAATCCTTACTAGAGATTATACATACTTAAGTCAACTAGCGGCTATCTTTGGACAAAACACGCTAATTAACATTACTTTAGGTATAACTTCTCTTTTTAATATTAACCATTAATAGAAATTATATAATTCTGATCAATTAGTGGTTATCTTTGGACAAACACACTTAATTGACCTAACTCTAATTATAATTTCTCTTTCAGTTGTCGCAAACTACAAACACATGGCCCACCTTTGGGTGTCCTCCTGGTTTATAATCCATGACATCAATTATTCAAATATATAATTTGAGAGACATTAATAAGGCATCCTTTTATATTTGAGTAATTGATACTTTTATCTAATTTAATTATCTATTCCATAAATTAAACTAGGCCACTTTGGTGACTAACTAGTTTCTTTACATAGATAATATAATTAGAAATATTTTATTTAATACAACTTATATTATGAGATTAGTAGACTTAATTAATCTCCAAACTCATGTGCTATAACTTGTAAACAATTGAATGTATCTCAGAACTTATGATTGAGATCAATATATTCAATTAAATCCATAAAAAAAACTCATATCTAATTTGTTGTCAGGCCACTTAAAAACAACATAACTAATAAAAGCCTTTAAAAAAGTAATCACCTTCATTAACTTAAATTGCTTTAATATAGTTCTATCATGGCTCATTGAAAATTGCAGCATTCCAGAAATCCAAACACAACAGTGATACTCACATGCACATATTTATCAACTTTCAATGGCTAATTAAAACGTTGCGTCAATTGAGATGTGTTCACATAATAGAAACAGCAATAACGATTCACGGTCAATTTTCAATTCACACAAATAATTTCCAACACCAATTTGCAATCTTAATTCGGCAGACACACAAATAATTCCCCGACAGTAATTTGCAATCTTAATTC